AAAAATTTTGTATTTGTACTTATTCTGTATTACCTTGCCATCTTTTTCCATTCCCATGCCTCAAACACACTTTTAGTTCACACTGGACGAGTAAATTTTCATAGTTATTTCTTGAGTTTGCAGATTTTTGTAAAAATTACATTTTTCTATGCTAGTTAATAGAAATTTCTCAACCAAACTGACTTGTTTTTACTTATAGTTCTAACTATACTGTTATAAGAATTTGAGGGCACGCCGCGTGTGCTGACTTCCCGCAAAATGACTTTCAATACGTTTTCCAACGTTTTTCATGAGATAGTGCACCAACTGTATGCTTAAAAGCTGTAGAATTTTCAAATACACTAGAAATAGTATCTCGGTGCCAGGTCACTAGTAGGAAAACGAAGAACTAAGTAAAACGACCTATTTTCGCCCACCAAATGTGCATGGCAGGAGTCTTGGTCAAAATACAGGTTATTTCGGTTCGGAAATGACGCCTTTCGGAGTATACAGTACGAACCATGGCCCCTCCAGTATCCCGAAAAAGTCCAGGTAATTTGTAGGTCGCCCAAAAATTAATTGTGTGGGATAGTTTGACAGAGGGGTAGCTTTCCGCTTTTCCTGGAGTCGGGAGTGAACATGGCCATTCATCCCCTGCGGCAAGCTAATTGTCTATGGGACTATAGCGGACACACTTGAATACGGCCAAATTTGAGGTATCACTACTGAGGCATATTTTACCATGACCCCTACCCTTGTACTCCGTGAATGGAGCCATTTCGCTGAGAAGTTTGGATATTACCTTCAAAATAAAGCCTTCGCTCTCTCTCTCTCTACTTGTTTCTCGAAACCGAGATTCTGTTTAGTTGACAATGAGCCTTAAATAAAGGTCATTCCAATACCTGAATAACCGGTAGTCATTCTAACAGGTAATAACTTATGATAGCGTCAAGTGAATAGGTCACAATCATCTCTGCCTCATTTAGCCATTTATTTAGTAGTCTTAACAAATATGTCTTCCTATAAGGATAACATATTAGCGATTTTGTCTGCTTTGGGGCCCGCATAGAGGAACGTGTAGTGAAGAGAGATAAATGATCAGTTGGTAATAACCCCATACCAGGCTCGGGCCAGTACTTTGAACCAGCAATAGGTGACCGCTGTCCATAAGAGCCCCAGGGTACAACGGGATCTCCTAAATCCATCCTGCAAATGGTTTACATCGGTGAACGCTGATCCGCAGATGTGACTTTAAATGTGCCCGATGGTTGGCCGATAGCCGGTAAGATATACGCGGTAAGATATATATTAAACGAATGATCCGAGCTCCAAGACTGGTTTCCTTAGCTTGGGTGCTTTGTGATGACGTTGGTGACTGGGTCAGAAGTAGTTACTCCAACTCTCTTTGTCCTCTTTGGTGGTGTTTCTTTAATCACAACCCGTGTTGGGGTTGTTAAAGTTAAATATAACAAACGCAATGTTGTTGGCAGGTTCTGAGCGCTTAGAAACTCGGGAGTAAGCAAGACTGCATGAGGTTTACGTAGAGGTCAGCCCTGTACCAGCAAAGACACGAGGGGCGGTTATTTCATATATCTATTTAAAACAACATTCAGTTCAGTTTTTTCGTTTTTATTTATTGGAGGCGAACTAAGCGTGCACCCTTCAGCCCGCTATTTGTTCAACGCAACGAAATTATTTCAAAAAAGTGGAAGAAGTGAAAGAAACTACAAACAGCTGCTGCTACTGCTTTCTGCTTATGTCTCTGATGACGAAACGTCAGGCGAATAAAAGTAGTGTCCCAGCGATCGAGTTTTCTTATTCCCAAACAATAAACTGTACGGATGACCAGGAATCGAGAGAGGACTTTTCCGTGTAGTTCGACCTGACACTGAAAATAAAGCATCACGGGAAACAAAGTTCTCTTATCTACACCTGGGAGACAAACTTCGGTGGACTGCCTGCGTTTAGCAGGCCGGTTCGGTTTACCAGACTTTGCCCCAGCTTCGTTAGGAATGCCTGCTCCAAGCAAATCTGTACTCGAAGGCCTCGCCCCTAGGCGGTAATATGAATTGTGGGCGCACACAGTTCAGAACGGGAGGCATTTTGTATTGTTACTCGTTTGCGCAAAGGTGTAACTGGTTGAAAGAAAGCACCAAGGAAAACCATCTTTTTGGAGTATAGGGAGGAGAAGGTGAAAAGGGAGGCAGGTAGAGGCCACAAGACCTACCACTGGCAGTGGATGGGACCGAGACAATGAGTGGTGCAGCTACCGTGGTCATCAACGGTGAAGATAAGGGCAACGACGACGGTAGGCTGACGGGCGACTTCACTTTTGTCAGTGCAGACGACGTCTCGGCCAGTCTCTTGGGTTTCCTCTCACCCCCCTCGGCCACTCTGCCGTCCGCCAGAGGTCTCTGCCCTAGTTCAGCCGCGCTGCCCGTCACACCTACGCTCGAGCGATCGACAACGGCCGCG